TTGTCGTGGGGTGGACAAACCAGTCTCTCGCCATCCGTCGTACTTGTCGCAGGGGATGTGAAGTGGATCCAAACGCGCGTCAACGCCGCAATAGCGGAGATGCCAGCAGATGTGCAGCGCTACTGGCAATCGCACTTGTTCTTTGCCGCCGACCCGCTTTCGGTGCGGTGCGCACACTTGCTTGCTTACTGTCAACGTCACCAGTGTCCCCACGCACCAAAGGCGCCGATTGTGCCCTGCTTTCCCCAAACACACACACACACACACACACACACACACACACACACACACACACACACACACACACACACACACACACACACACACACACACACACACACACACACACACACACACACACACAGGCAAGCGCCAGCGCCAGCGGCCTGCGCGACGTGCTGGTGCAGTGGCCGTACCTGCAGCGGCAGCTCACGTTCACCACAACCTCTGCATCGACCACGACCACGACCACGACTGCCACATCATCGACGACCACAGCAATGGGGACAGCAGCAGCGACCCACATCACTGTGCGACGGTTGGACGGTCACTTTCAGTTTTGCAACGTCGTGGCGTGGACAAACCACTCTCCGACAGATCCACGGCAGCCGTATCCACCTGTGCCCGCAAACGTCACGCTCGTCGCCAACGCGTGCGCGGTGCACACTCTCCCGGACCTCCGCCATCACTGGGCCGTCGTTCAGCCAGGTGGCGTGACGTGGTGGTCGAGTGGTGGTCGGTGTTGCTTGCTTGTTTGCGATCCCAGTTGAGTCTGGAGGCAGTTGGTTACCCCGTATCCACACACACACACACACACACACACACACACACACACACACACACACACACACACACACACACACACACACACACACACACACACACACACACACACACACACAACACACACACACACACACATTTGCTCATTCACGCATTCACTCGATCTTCCGCTTTCTGCCTCACCCAATACAGCCAGCAATGCCTCATGCTCGCTGGAAGCGATGGCGCGGAATGTTGTCAACGCCGCCAACGCAACCGCCGTCATCATCATGGCCAACAAGGGGCAGCCCCTCACCCAGATTGGTCGGTGTGTGTGTGTGTGTGTGGTGGTGGTGGTGGTGTGTGTGCGTGTGTGTGTGTGTGTGTGTCTGTGTCTGTGTCTGTGTCTGTGTCTGTGTCTGTGTGTGTATGTGTAGATTTGTGTGTTTGTGTGATTGCACAGGGAGCATCGCCTTGTCAGAGCAATTGTATCATGTGACACATCACACTTGCAGTCATCTTGTCCATGTCTCTTCCATCTGCTTTGACAGGCCAAAATGCGTTTGAGCAGGATAACGGCATTTGGAACGGCAACGACAACCAGGGATTCTGCACCATGATCGATTACAATCCCCAGCTATTGGAGCTCTTGCAGCACCTACAACAGCAACCCGAACATCATCAACAAGATGCGACAACCACCATCACGGGTGTACAGTTCACGACGCGTCAGGCGTCATCATCGCCGTTCGTCGCCATTGACAGTCGCGGTCGTCTGCAGGAGATTGGCGCCCTCATCAACCCGTCCCTCTCCACCATCGGTCTGTCAGCGATGTGTACGTGTGTATGTGTGTGTGTGTATGCATGTGTGTTGTGATCAAGCTGGACACAAACACTCACACTAACAAACACACATGCACCACCATACACACACACACACACAACTGGGCCCCTCCCTCTCTCATCCAACACGATCCCAGTGTATGCTGCTCAGGGCCTCGACTATCAAGCGCGCCTGCACCGCCGCGTGAGCGAATTCCACCTCGCCATTCCGCTGCTCACCGACGTCGTTGGAACATCGGCCCGTTCGTCCGTACGCATCCCATCGTCACGTGCCCTGTCCGCTTTTTCGCACGTGGAGCTCGACGCCCGCATGACGTGCAGGGGTAAGTCATTGTGAACCTGCGTGTGTGAACCTGCGTATGTGTGTGTGTGTGTGTATGTGTATGTGTATGTGCATGTGTGTGTGTGTGTGTGGACTTGTGTCATTGTGTGCATGCGCACGCGCTCTAAGCACCTGTCATCCATTCCCACGCCAATTCTCCCTTTTGCTTCCTTGCAGGCACGTTTGATCTTGACTGCGACAAGTGGGATCACGTGCACACTGTCGCCATGATCTGTGACAATGACGACCAGGTGTTTCACTCGTGCGTGCGTGCATGCGTGCTTTCGTGTTCATTCACTTCTTCACACTCCCAAACACACACACACATGCACACAAAAACATGCAAACACACACACACACACATGCAAACACACACTCACTCACGTCACACAAATGCACATACAGACCACCAATAACTTCCCCTCTCCCCCTCTCCACCTGCAACCCTCCTCCACATCATAATGCATGTTCAAGCCGTCTGCGCTGTCTGAGGCGAACGTGTCTCCACACGAGATTGGGCGGTGGATCACCCCATATCGCCGCCGTGTCGGGCGCTGGCTGACACCGGGCACGCGGCTCCTGGCCAGGCTGGACGAAGCAAGCACCTGCAACGTGTCCCTGCAGGCAACGGACAACGGCAGCCCGTGGGTGTTTTCGCTGACACTGCGCGCGTTTGCAACCCCGTCACAGGACGCTGAATGGATGGACGCACATGGAAACTTGAATGGCGATGATGCAACAAAAGCAGCAGCAGCAGCAGCAGCAGCGGCAGGGGCAAGAACGCGCACGGTAGCAACAGCAGCAACGACCACAAATACATCACGATCACAATCTCGCTCCTCGCTATCACCACCTCCACCGCCATCGCTTCGTCCATTCTTGGATGTGCCGCTGTTCAATTCGACGATCATCTCGACCTTTGATGAGCACTACAACAACCGGTCCACAATCACAATCACCGCACCACGCGCTTTCGCCACGGCCACCATCGAGGTACCGACGTGCTGTGATGCGATGGGATGGGATGGGAGGTGGCTGTGTTCCGGGAGTGGCTGCTGTGGTGTTGTCGTGGTGGAAGGAACGGTGCACATCGTTGTCTTGCAGTCTCGAAGCGCAAGTGACGTCCCCCCCCACACACACACACACTAACACACACACTAACACACACACACACACACACACACTAACACACAACACAAACGACCTCACGAGCAAGGCGCTGATCACGGGCCACGGGAGCATGGAGTTTGTGCCGAGTCGCCACTCATTCATCGTCAACGGCATTGCGTTCAACGTCTCATTCATGGATCCGCTCGACAAGGACGGATGCGCTAAGCACGTGAGGGCACTGGTGGTGGTGTTGGTGGTGTTGCGATTGTGTGATTGTGAAAGCTAGTGTGTGTGTGTGTGTGTGTGTGACATATATATATATATATATATATGTGTGTGTGTGTGATGTGTGTATGTGTGTGTGTGTGTGTTCGCACACCTGTGTTTTGTTTCCATGTGTCCGTACATTTGCATTCACCGTTTGTCAATCACTCCTTTTTGTTTCTTCCGCAGGTGTGGGCTGGGGTTGAGCCCAACGGACACGGCGCGTTTGAGTTTGGGCGGGACGGGTGGTGCAATGGCTGGCACGTGCCTCCAGTCGTCCTCGACGTCACAGCGGCAGTCAACAAGCAGGTAAGTGCGTGTGCGTGCGTGTGCGTGTGCGTGTTTGCGTGTGTGTTTTTCTGTGTGTGATTTTTCTGTGTGTGTGTGTGTGTGTGTTTCTGTGTGTGTTTCTGTGTGTGTTTCTGTGTTTGCGCGTGTGTCTCTATGCGCGTGTGCACATTCTGCCCCGTTGTACATGCCATCCATTCCGCAACAGGTTTCCTCCTCATCATCACTCACATGCAACGAATCGACTCCACTCCTCAACATCACCAACAACCAACACCCCCCCCCCCCTCTCCCATACACCTCCTCTGATCCCCCGGTGACCAAGACGGCGACAACAATTGCGTACCGTGCCTACCAATATGACGCGCACGCTGAAGCGTGGGTGGAACCGCACTCGCCCGACGGAGACATGCGGCTGTCATCCCACATCGTCTTCTGGAAGTGACACACGCACGCATTGGGGGTGCTGCGCAGTGCATGCTCTGTGTATGTGTGTGTGCGTGTTTGGTAATCGAGGAGCTGGTCTTCTCTGTGTTGTTGATTTCATTTCCACATTGTCTCATCTTGCGTTCGTTTATTGGCCGTTGCGGTTTGTGTGTATGTACAAAAGATACAACAGTGCAACGTCAACTATGCGCTATTCATTACAGTACAGCTGAACCACACACACACACACACGCGCGCGCACACTGACTTACTCACGCACACACACTCACACACATACACACACAAGGCAAACTCACACCAACACACCAACACACCATCACATGTCATCACCGAAGGACAAGAGCCCCGTGTTCTTCTTGCTGAGGGACTTGGCCAGCTTGCCCTTCTTCGCCTTTTTCTTCTTCTGCTGCTTTCCTCCCTTAGCCCCACCATCACCATCACCATCACCATCGCCATCACCAGCCCTGTCCTTGTGCTTGGTCTTCTTTGTCGTTGCGTGCAGCGTGCGCTTCATGTTCTCGCGGTCCTTTTGTAACCGCTGCTTCACTGTTGTTGCGTTCGCTGCAGACAGCACACCCTGCGCCCCCTCTGCCCGCACGCAGTGAGCGAAGGCGGGGAAGTGGAGGACACGTGGAGGGGGTGGAGAGTGTGTGCACGAGCATCGATGTGGGGTGGAAGTGAGCGTGAGTGGGCGCAAGGGCAAAGCGTCATGTTTTATCAAGTGCAGGCCGTAAGCATGGTTGCAAGCAGCTTCATGCACGTTGCACAGCCACGAACCTGCGCCAGCGAGGATGGCCTGCTCGGCCTCGGACTGGGTCAGGTCTCCCTTGTTCAGCACAACAACGGTCTGGCATGGCAAACCACACGCAAGCAGCAAACGTGTCAGTCATACAAGCACAAGCACACACACACACACACACACACGCACGCACGCACGCAGTGTCGCGTGTGGCTAGCTAGCAAGGGTAGGAGGGGTGGCAAGGTCAGGAAGGACGCATCTGCCACATGCACACCACTGTGATTGACCACACAGGTGTGCATGTGACTCAAGACACAAGCCTATCACATTGCAAACCCCACACTACTGCTCTGCCAACCGCACCACCACCACCCACGTCGGCTTGACCAACAACGCACATGTGAAAGATACGAACACAAAACACAGCCGCACCGGTTGCTCTTCATCTCTGACGTCGAGGAGATTCGGATCATCATCATCGTCATCGTCATCGTCACTGAACCGCGGGGCATCTCTTCGCTTCTTGTCAAACTTGGCGTTGAGGTCGTTGTTGCGCTGCTCCTCCCGCGATTTCAGGCCGTGCTTTGCTCTGCAGAAGCCATGAGCAAAAAGGAGCAGAGCCACCGATGAGATCTAACGTGCCACAGCAGCATGAACCTTGATCACACACACACACACACACACACACACACACACACACACACACACACACACACACACACACACACACACACACACACACACACACACGCAACACCAGCCGCTCACCTCAACTGCTGGATGAACGGTGCCTCAGCGATGCCCTGCATGATGGGTGAGACGCACAAACCGGTGAGCTGACTGCACACGGCCACAGCTACAACCCCCTCCCCTCTTGCACAAGGACACATCCATGACCACCACATCCCCCCGCGCAAACACAGGTGCACACACGTACCGTGTGCATGACGTTGACCTTGCGACCACCGCCACCTTTGCCCTTCTTGCCTCCTTTTCTTCCGCTCATCATCGAACGTTGCGCTGCTTTTCGCTGCTTGCTGAAAAGTGGCGGATGATTTGAGATAATTTTCTGTGAAAGAAGCCGCAACACACACATTCACGCACGCACACCACCACCCGATATCATCACCGCCAGCAACAGCGCTTGTCTTGACTGACGTCCATCACTGTTCTTCTTCGTGCTAGCCACACATAACAACAACAACACCAAAGTCATGTCTTTCCTTGCCCGTATTTCCCGAACCGCCGTTGCCGCCGTCCGCATGGCCCCTGCTGTCCGTGCTGCACAAGCAACACAGTACGTTGTGTGCGTGTCGTGAGTGGGTGTGTCGTGTGTGTGTGTGTGTGCAACACGATAACAGCATGCACGCGTTGTTTGCCCTTCATCTCCTCGTGCCCACCTCACTCTCAAGTCATCACAACTCACGCGGCGTATGTGTGTGTTGCTTTTTTCGTTATTTTCAGGCTTCAGGCGCGCTTCCGCGCCGTGCCAGCACTGCAGGCTGTGCGCTTCCAGGCCACCTTCTCGCAGGAGGACGTCGAGAGCCGTGTCCTCAACATTCTTCAGAACTTCAACGCCATTGAGAACAAGGAGAACGTGAGCGTTTGGTCTTGCATTGGTTTGTGCGTGCGTGCGTGTGTGTGTGTGTGTGTGTGTGTGTGTGTGTGTGTGTGTGTGCGTGTGTGTGTGTGTGTGTGCGCAGTTTGCGTGTTTGCATGGCTGTTGTTGGTCTTTTTCTTGTTCTTGCCGCTGTTGTTCTTGTGTTTGTTTGACTTGTCGTCGTCGTTATTGTTCTGCTGCCTCTATTATCCTCACTGCAACAACATGCCTTCCACGCTTGGTTATTGCCTCTCTCTCTCTCTCACACACACACTCTCTCACTCTCATATACATACACACGCGCGCACTACAACGGCGATTCTTTGGTGACGCAGGTGTCTCTCGATGCCCACTTCATCAACGACCTTGGCCTCGACTCCCTGGACGCCGTTGAGATTGTCATGGCCGTCGAGGACGAATTCTGTGAGTAAAGGGTGTATCTGTGTGTGTGAGAGTGTGTGTACGTATGCTTTTTGTGTGTGTGTGTGTGTGTGTGTGTGTGTGTGTGTGTGTGTGTGTGTGTGTGTGTGTGCCTGCCTGTGCGTGTGCGTGTGCGTGTGCACGTGTGTATCATCTTTGTGCGCGCTTCTCTGCGTGCATCCGTCTCTCAATTTCCTTCGCTTTCCATTGACCCACCTCTCCTTCCTTCTACCCTCTCCTTCCCTACGCAGCCGTTGAGATCAGCGACCAGGACGCAGAGAAGGTGCTCACTGCCCGCGACGTGGTGAAGCTCGTCATGGGCCAGGAGTAAAGAGACAAGCCAACCAAGGACGCGTGGTTCTGTGGTTTTGTGCTGTGTTGTAGTGCGACTCTTTGTATTTCTTTGACGTGCAAATTTGTGTGTGCGCATGAGGCATTCGTCGCGAGCAACGCGTGACGTTGCCGCATGGTGCATGTGAGTGACCAAGAGCTGGAGCTGGGAGGGAGGCGTTGAGCTGTGAATGTTTGGCGGTGTTGACGCGTGAGTGCAGCGTGTTCTCGTCAAGTTCACAAGCAACAAAGCAAGCAAGCAAGCAAGCGAGGTTGGTTGTGGAAAGTTGTGTGTGCCATGCGTGGATTTCGGACAACCAATGGCAGTGATCAACAATGTCCTGCCGGCCAACACACACACACACATGCATTCATACTCATACATGCATTCATACATACATTCATACGTACAGCACACACACACACATACATACAAACACACACATAAATACACACACAATGACTGAAGTGTTGAGGGTGAGCGAGTGGGCATTGGTTGCATCGCAGCTCGTGGATGAAGCAGCACCTGCAGCCGAACACATGGACGATGTCATCATGCGGTTGGTCGTTGCCAGCCGCGCGTTCTTCAACCTCATGCAGACGTGCCGCGAGCTGTACCACGACCTCCCATGGGCCATGCCAAAGTGGTGTCTGTCAGCCGTGTACCGTGGCAAAGGCGGCGTGATTGCGCACTGGGTGGACACGTTCCAGCCAGGCCTCGCACAGGCACAAGCCATTGAACCAGCTGCACTTGCCACAACAACCACAACAACTGCCACTCAGGCCACTGCATCCTTAAGGCCAGCAAGAAACAGCACACAGTGCACAGGGAGCGCGGTGCCGCAAGGTGACAGCGGTTTGGGTGTTGTTGCCTGGACAGAAACCCGCTTCCTCGTACACGCCTGGCTCGGCGCGATGTTCGACAGCAAGTGTGCGTTCCTGCGTGCCCAGCTGGCAGCACCTGCATCGCTTGAGTTCTGGCGCAGCTTCGGTTCCTGTGGCCACATGTATTTTTCCGACCTGAGCTACCTCAAGCTCTGGGCAAGGGAAGAGGCTCAAGCCCGAGAGAAATGCAAAAACGCAACAGCGACGCTGGACAAGGCCGGTGAAGTATCGCAAGAACAGCGCCAACCACGAGTGCAGCCACGATCCAAGGGAAGCAAACAAGCGGAGGAGAAGGTGGAGCAGCAGACGCACCAGCATCCCAAACAGCCAACAGATCAAGAAGAAGAAGAGGAAGACGACGACGAAGAAGAAGAAGAAGAAGAAGAAGAAGAAGAAGAAGAAGAAGAAGAAGAAGAAGAAGAAGAAGAAGAAGAAGAAGAAGACGAACAACAACAACAACAACAACAAGATATTCGGCACGATGTCGCCCTCGTGCCGGAAGCTCCTGCTCGGCCATCGGCACACAACCGTAAGCGGGAGGCATCACCAGTACCGTTGTTGGCTCCAGCAATGTTCTCCATGACAGCAGTGCTGTCAAACCAGGACGACATTGACTGCCTCCACCAGCTTCGTACCACGCTGCTCACCCATGCACGAGGAAAGACCCTGCATTTGACTGCCGACGTGACAACACCGCTGCTCACGGTGTGTAACGTCGAGCGCCTAATCATCGTCTCCTCCTCCAAGGTCTCAATCGAGAGCCTCTATCTCAACGATGTCGACATTGTGATGTGGCACCCAAGTGCCGTGCAGCGCGCCATTCAGGGAGACCTTCAGCGCGTGCGCCGCGTGACGCTGAATACGCCCTTTGGCTTGCACGATATCGCTGCGCTTGCGGGCGTGCCAGAAGTTCACCTCTGCAGCAGCCCTCTGCTCCGACAGCAGCATGTGTCCGAGGCATCCGAGGCGAATGTTGACACAGACATCACCACCGACCTTTCCCCATTGCTTGGTGCGAGCGAGCTTGAGATTAGCGACTTGCCTGTGGCCCATGAACGGTCAGTTTTTGATGCAGCGCAACGCATCACCCTCTCTTCCACAAAAGTGTCGACCACCACGCTTGCCAACGCCACCAGCGTCAAGCTGCTCAATGTGACCGTGCTCCCAGGCCTGCTGCACCTTCCAAAGGCGACCGACATACGCGTCATCGATTCTAACGTTAACGGAATCACGTGCCCGGCCCGCATCAATCGCCTGTATATCCACAGTGAAGACAGCCGTGCCGTCGGGCCAATACCTGCGTTTGAGCACGCCAATTTGGTCCATCTCAGTTTCCTGAGCGCGCTCCTGTCACGCTCGCAACTGGCTGACCTTGGCGGGCGGGCCGACGTGCTGGCGTTGGAGGACTGTGTCAAGGACATCAGCGACCTGCAGGTCGTTCCAGACCACGTGTCCGTACATGTGCGGGGCGTGAATGTCGACGCACCAGCACCGCCATGCGTGAAGAAACTGCAATGCCGCCCACCCGCCGGCTTTCAAACGCGGTTCGTGGCGCACGTGCCGCGCCTAACAATTGATAGTGACCCCGGTGCTCCCCGCATCCGCAATCTCCATCTGCTCTCCAAGCGCCAGCAGCTGTCGCTGCGTCTCTGTCCGTTTGACAAGGCACACATCTCGGACTGCAAGCGGCTGCTCTTGTGGAGGTGTGTTGGTACCGCTGCCGTTGCCTCTGTCAGCTTTCTGGAGGTTGAGTCCGGTGTGGTTGCCTCAGAGGGAACTGGTGATCACGACAACACCAAGCTCCACCTGACGCATGTACGCGACGTGTCCACATGTCGCCTGGAGCTGTGCCACATCGAGGACTTTGCCTGCATGCAGAACGTCCGGCGGCTCGTGCTGGGCAGGTGTACCTTTGACAGCGTCGACAACCTCCCGCCCGTGGACTCGCTTGTCGTGTGGGGATGCACCATGCGAGACGAGACGTGGAGTTGGCCAAAGGTGGTCTTGACCAACCGGTCCCCAGAGGAGATGCGGCGCATCCTGCTTGCAGGCAAAAGAAGCATCAGTGTCTTTGACAGTGACGATGATGATGACAACTGACGAGGCAAGGCGGGAGAGCTGCGTGCGTGCGTGTGTATGATAGATGATGTGTGATGTGATGAAATCGAATCCTTTGTGAATTTGTTTGTGTATCCATCATGGCGGTAGGAAGTTGGAACCGCAACACTGCACGCTGGAGTTTTGTTTTGTTGACGATGGCCTGTGTGTGTGTGTGTGTGTGTGTGTGTGTGCTATGATTTAAAAGTATTTGTCACTTTCACAAGCGGTAAGCATCCAACACACACACAGACACTTCCGAGCTTGCTCGAGCTCCCAACCACCCGATGACATCATCCTATCATCGTGCACGACTGAGCATTGCAGTGCAGGCCAGTGTGCTAGGAAAAGATGCTCAAAGGGATGTGACATGCCTGAAAGAGAGAGGGTGTGTATGTGCGCACGGGGTTTGTGGTCTTCCATTTGCCCAGGCCCTCCCCCTCTTCACCACTAAGGTTGAGGGAAAAAAAAAAAAAGCCGAACTGAAAACCACGGAAGAGAATGCGGCTCGCATCCTTGCTTAGACCATCTTCAACTGTAGTGTAGACGCAAACACCCATTTCAACCAACTTTGCACACATGTTCCAGGCACCCAACCCTTGCATGACGTCAGCGAGCTGAGGAGCTGAAGGCCTCCGCGGAGCAGAACCCGAATTCAACATGCACAGCGAAAGGGGGCTGGGGCGGGGTAACCTTGAAAGGGAGGAACAATTCGTGTGGCTCACCGAAGGCCCCAGTTCGCATGTTGAACATAGGACGCAGTCCATCCAAGACAACCAAGAGATTGCAAGTGACCACATGCGATGACTGCTGCCCGCATGCGCGCGTGTTGTGTGTTCCCCATCACATCATCCAGCCCCTTGTTCCCATTCATCTCTCGAACTCAATGCCACCACTATCGCTCAACCAAATCACAGTGGCACCAGTGCTGTGTGTAACCGTTTACTTTTGTCTCGCTCGAGACGTCCCGAAGCCACCGCCACCGCTACCGACCACAACCACCCTCCATCGGGATGACACAACCACACAACCACACAACCAACCAACCAACCAACCAGCTCACCACCCAACTCAGGTACACCTCTATCTCTCACTCATACACCCATCTGGAAGGCTTCTTGTTCTGCGCCACCTTGTACAGCTTGTCGACGGGCGACAGCAGCCGCGCACACCGGCGCTCACTGCCAGACCCGCTGATGGGTGGTGGTGGCGGTGGAAGTGGTGGTGGTGGATGGCAATGGGGGAACGTATGAGTCGTGAGGCGGACAAGTGGGCTGGGCATTGAAGCATGGTAGCCTTGCCAATAATGCGGTGGCATGCTGTGATACCCGCTCTCACTCACAGACACAGACACAGACACAGACACACAGACACATTACCTTTGTGCGAGGTCTGCAATCTCTGATGGGGTCTTCAGGATGACGGATTCGCATGTGTCCAGCAAAGCCCGCAGGTGTGCCTTCAACACATCCACCTCGTCCCGCATCTGCATCTCACGCGTCAGCTTGCGCCTGCGCACGTGCGTGCGTGTGTGTGTGTATGCAAGTGTGTGTGTGTGTGTGTGTGTGTGCGTGTATGTGTGTGTGTGTGAGCGCGAAAGAGACGACCAAAACCATCCACGTCACACCCACAGCCAATCCACGTCACACCCACAGCCAATCCACGTCACACCGACACCCACAGCACACTGCCACCACCATTCACCACCGCCACCGCACCAGAGCGTGGTGTTGAATTGCTTGTAGAGGGCGGCGTCGACGGTGTTGACAGCCAGGATTTGGGTGCGCAGCGAAGCAGGGATCTTCCGCTCGGGATACAGTGCATCCACAGTCACGCCTACCACCAGGCACGATGCACGTTATGATGGGGGGTGAAGAAAGGAGGGGTGAGATGAGCGTCACGTTGAAAGGCGGCACGGCAAGATGAGGAAAGGGTGATGTTTGGCAAGCGACTGCGCTTGCATTTGTGATGTTGTCATGAATAACGAAGAAGCCAGCAGTATAACACAGTGGCACGTGCACGGTGTGATGTGACACCACACAGCCCCACCCTTTGGGACGTTGGGGTTGTTTGGATGTGCAATGTACTCGACATCGCGCCGGCTCCAGCACAGCAGCCGGCGCATGTACAGCTGCAGGCGGCAGGCGGTGGTAGTGGTGATGGTGGCGGGGACAGCACGCGCATTGGTGAGATGAGATGTGTGGAGAGTGTGCATGGGCATGTCAAAGCACAGGAGGGGAGCAAGTGAGCATGGAATTGGAGATTCACATTGCGTGAAAACATGACACGACATCAAACAGTAGTGAAAAACAAATCCAACGTGCAACGTCCTCCGCATCCACCCACCTCCTCCACCTCTTTCCCTCAACAGCACACAGAACTCTTCACTCCCC